GGACCGAAATTAGGTGGACCCCTCCGTATGGCGTAGCTGCTCTTCGGAGGCCGACCGTCCAAATATGGTAATAAACCTACTTGACCGATTATGACCGAATGGACCGAATGGACCGAAATTAGGTGGACCCCTCCGTATGGCGTAGCTGCTCTTCGGAGGCCGACCGTCCAAATATGGTAATAAACCTACTTGACCGATTATGACCGAATGGACCGAATGGACCGAAATTAGGTGGACCCCTCCGTATGGCGTAGCTGCTTGGCGTAGCTGCTCGCTAGGTTGAGATCAGCACCGGGAACAATATTCAAGAGCGGCGGGCCGGAATTGGAGTAAAGTTCTCACCCCTCATCTATATGCAGAGGGCGGGCGATGCACTGCAGACGTTGGCTCCAACAAGTGACGACTGTTGGTGCCATGCTCAACCTCACCTCCACGCGTGGGCTCTTCATTGTTAATTAAAGCCACAGCCATGCTACCATCCACTCTACAGTATACCACTATGACCGACACACCTCATCCTACCGCTTCTCGCAACACCTCAGCTTCCACAGTTCCCCTCCTCCCTGCGACACAGGACTCAGAGGAGGCACCGCCTCACCTCTGCACGCTCTCTAAACGAAATGTGTTTGGCTCTTTATTCTCTCGCACCTTACCCAAGTATAGTGGTCCCTACCCGGTTGGCGTCCGCGACGTCGAGCTATCGATACCCACGGAGACCTTTGGTGACTTCAGACACAAGTCTATGCCAAACGTATCTGCTGGCCTCAGCATTGATACCGTCCTGTTCTCCCTCTTTTACCCAGCTGAGATAGATCCGAAGACGAAGAACAAGAATGTAGTCTGGTTCCCTAGGTATGCTCTTCCCTCATTCACCTACCCTTAACTGCGATTCTCATCCTTCCTCGTAGATTAGCCCAGACAGTAGACGGCTTCATCAGGATGGCCAATAGAATGCCCAACTGTGTCTATAGAACAGTAGCATGTGCGCCATCCTCTCCTTTCCCCCTGCTGCCACATTGACATGGCTGACGCATGGTGATTTATATAGACCCAGCTGCAGCTGCAGCTATTTGGGGCACGACCTTCCCCGGCATGCAAGACGCACCACTCAAGAACCCCCCTGAGGAGGGGCAGAAGTGGCCCATCATCATCTTCAGCCACGGAGTGGGATGCTCCCGGCTTATGTATGTGCGTATAGGTCCCATGCCTCCCTCCATCCTTCCGGCATGTGCTAACCGCGCCTTCCACGCCTCGCCCTCACCCCGTCCTTGACTCAAATCATCCTCATGCCTGTATCTATCGCACGCCCACCACACGCCCATCACTCGCACCACCCACACGCAGTCCTCCTTCTGCGGCGAAATGGCTTCGCGCGGGTACATCGTCGCCGCCGTCGAACATCGCGACGGCACTGGTCCCTCGTGCCGCGTGACGAACGAGCACGGCGACACGAAGGACCTCCCCTGGGTGCAGTGGTCCGACCTCGAGTGGAGCGAGACCGCGCAGCAGCCGATGAACGACACCACGCTCCGACACGTGCAGCTCGAGGTGCGCAAGGCCGAGGTGCACCACGTTCTCGAAGCGTTCCGCAAGATCTCGCGCGGCGTGCGGGTGCGTGAGAACACCGCTGGCGCGAGGCAGGAGGGGAAAAGAAGGGCGGGCGCGGGCGCAGGGACGGGTGCGGACTATGATTGGTCGAGGTGGACGGCGATCGATGTGGAGAAGCCGATTGTGGCGGGGCATTCGTTTGGGGGGACGTTGGCGGTGAGCGTTGACGGTCCCTATGTGCGAGACTTCTTGAGGTTTACATTTCTGCCCATTCGTAGATCGCTGCCGGCGATGACAACCGGTTCAACTGGACGCACGTCGTTGCGTTCGACCCTGCCGTGCAGCGTGCGTCTCTTGCAGTTACCTTGCTCCCTCCCCACTAACTGAAGAAGGACTACCAGGGCTCGACCCATGGCACGGCAAGATCAAAGCCCCCCTGCTGGTAATAAACTCAGAAGAATACTGCTTCGGGCGCGAGTTCCCCATCCTCGTGCAGGACATCATGCCCTCCGCCGAATCCGCCGACATGTTCATCATCCGTGCGTCCCCTCCCCTCGCTTCCCTTCCCTTCACTCGTTAGCTGATGCTTTTGATGTATCCTTGATAGCCGGCTCGACGCACCCAGCGTTCTCGGACGTCTTCCTCATCCTCCCGGACTACATCAACCGCCTCACGGGGCTGAGCGTGAACCCATTGGCCGTGATCGACCATACGATCGACACGACGTGGAAATTCGTGCGCGGGTGCTTGGGCACCGTCGTCAACGACGAGAAGCTACGCGTTGTCCGGGGTATGAAACTCACGCGTGGCGAGGTTGGGCCTGTGGGTGAGTTGGTGAGTTGGGTGCCTGCGTGAGTGAGTTGTGGGACGACCATTTGAAGATGCGGGTGTTGTGTGCTTAAGACGGATGTTGGGCAAGATTCCAGGAGAGGGTGGTTAACGATGTATTTTTGAAACACGGACAGCGTATATATCCACCGACATTTTGTGTACCCGAAGAACAGTCTATATTATGTATAACGACAGTCTAATAAACACGCGAGTACCTCTTGCATCGTTCGAAGTTGTGCTATTACGATGCTATCTTCTGCACAGTACCTCGTTCCTACTTCCCTCCCGCATCATGCCTTCTCCTCGGTTTCGACACTTTCCTCAGCACCCTGCGCATCCACATCGATCTCTGCTCCGCCTTTCCCATCCATGGTCCGCCGCCTCAGCCTCCGTTCCACGCCTCTGAGCACCGCATACACCCCACCGGCAACCACGCCCATCGCATATATACCCAAATCACCCGTCCCCCTCTGCGCAACCGGGCCCTCCCACCACACCTGGCTCATGAACAGGACGAGCACGCCCACCGCGCATGCGAACGCCACCAGCGCTGGAATGGACGAGGGGAGCAACGACGAGGAGGCCCACGCGCGCGTGGGCGTGCTGTACGCGGCCTCGGTGAACGCGCGGCGGTAGAGGAAGTGCTCGACGAGGACGATGGCTGCGAACGCGGCGGACCAGTAGCCGATGATGTCGAGTACGTCTACGAGCGTGTTGTAGAATGTTTTAGCGCCGACGATCGCAACCGGGATCAGTCTGTGCGTCCGCACGTCAGCGTCAGCAATTAGCATCCCACATCGCTTCCGCAGTCCGACATCCACGCTCGATCCAAGCTCGACGGAGCAGCGCATAAGAACACTCACATGGCCTCCGAAATGAGCACGTACACCCAGCGCGGCACGCGCGCGAACCAGTTGCCCCGCCCGGGCGTGGGGATCGCCATGAAGCTCGTTCCGAACGTGTACATGGTCGGCGCAGTCAGTGCGGGCACGCTGAGCGCGTTCACGACCGTCAGGAACTTGCCCCAGCCGCCCGCGCGGAGGAGCACGGCGTAGATAAGGCCACCGAGGTCCGACGCGTCGTCGAACCCTGTGTTCCACGACGGCACGGAGGGCGCGGCTGCGGCGAATGCGGCGCCGATCATGTGGCAGGTGAGCTGTGGCGCCGAGTGGATGTCAGAGGGTGGGCCAAGGGGAAGGGTGAGGGTGGGGAGTGACGCACACTGGGGAGGAAGAAGCCGAGGTAGACGTAGAAGAAGATGCGCCAGCTATATATATCCACGTCCAGTGGTGTCAATACAGAGTACGTTGTACAATGGCTTAATAAACGTACCTAGATGCCTTTGGGCTATGGTACACCCCATAGTCGGGCGACATAGTGCACCAACTGAGCACACTCGATGCAAGCGTGGTGCTAAACGAAAGTACACCCGCGGCGGTCAGTGGCGGACTCGGCGCGCGCAAGTTCGCCTGCAAATCCGGATATCCAACAGCGAGCATCGTAATGAGCGTGATGACCGGTGGAATCCACGCATACGTCTCGTATACGTGAATCACACGATACCCGCAGAACGTCACCTATGCACCAGCGGTCAATCGAAAACCCCGGTCAGCGCCACATAGACATAGATAAGGCGGCAACAACACAAGGCAAAGAGGGTAACGCACAAACAGCGAGATAAGGCTAATAATAACGATTCCGAGCGTGTCGTCCAGTCGACCGTCGGACACGCTCGCGAGAATCTGCCCCCCGATGATGCAGTCGATGACAAGGAAGCCTTCCATGCTGACCACGTTCAACACGCTGGGCACGATGCCGCCCCAGTAGCCCCACGAGAAGCGGGCCTGTACCATTGCGCGGGTGCCGATTTTGGGTCCGAATACTGCGCTGCGGGGGTTGGCTTGGGTCGAAGGGAGCATGTACACGGTTCAGAGGTGCGAGACGTACGAGATGGCGGGGATGACTGAGAAGCTGGCGGAGAGTTAGATATGGTCATAAGGGAGAGTAGGCATGGAAGGGTCTCACATGGCGTCGACTATGGCGATGATAACGAGAGAGGGTTTGATTCCCAGTCCGAAGAACGCTGGACCAGCGGTGCCAGTGCTGAACCTGCATTTCGTGCCAACGCATTGCAGGGTAGCCGCAAACGTGGTGAGGATGGTAAGTAAGAAGAGAGGCCAGCAGGAGGTTAACAAGAAGACTCACGTTAGAATGTTCATGTTCACCCCAAACCAGATGAAGAACATCTGGTACCACCGTGAGTCCTTCCTCTCCTCCATGGGGACGGGCTCGATCCTAGAAGCATGGGCACCATTGTATCAAATACGGCCCACACGAAGATACGGGAGTCTGGCAGCTCACCCGTTGGTTTCAACCCCCCATTCAGCAAGGAACGCATTTAGCTTCCCAACTATGCGCCCTTGCGAGCTCGTAGCCGAGTTTGAAGCGGTAGCTGGAGGCTCTACTTTCTGTTCATGAGTAACTGAGGTATCATTCGAGGCCGAGGGCCGGGTATCGTCGGCGCTTGCCATACTAGCGAAGGCCCGAGGAGAAGGGAAGGGGAGCGGAGGGGGCCCTGGAGCTTGTGGAGGTCAGTGGATAAGAGGCAAGCTAACCAAATTGATAGCCCATGCTTACTCGAGCAGATTACTGATGGCGGTGATGGTGGGCATCATATGGACGTGGTCGCGGCCGCGGGCCGCTCAAAAAATACGCGCTGACAGGGGCTAAAACATGAAAGCGGGCGAACTCAACATTGCAACATCCTGCGAATGTGAGCAAAGTCACTCAATCACACTTGCACAATCGAGTACCGCCTTGAGTACCGCAGAGCAGATCAAGAGTAGGCTCACAAGATTAAAAGCCTTTTAAGTTGCGACCAAAGAACCACCTAAACGCAATGAAATTTGAAGTAAAAAAAAAACAAAAATACGCGCTAGGTGTAGAATGTGTATGAACGAAGTTTTACGAAAGTGGTTGGATTTGGGTTGGATATTTGTTAGAATCAAGTAATACGTCTCGGGAAAATATCTAGAGCAGCTGTTAATTAACTGACGACGCTGATCCTTGTCATGCGCCAACAGACGGCCTCAGTTATTGATATCCAAATCATCTAATTGAAGACTTAGCGCTGATCACAGTACAGCACGGGCATTCAAGTGTTTGATGCCTCGTGTTCAGTACAAACCTCGGTGAACCGCCCTCGAATCTTCTTTGGCAGGTGGCATGCAAAGTCAGACTTGCCGTGCATTCCCGAGGATATAGATGTCCACAGATACATCCTGTGCGATATCGTTTATCAAGCGCCGCGAAACGAATCCAGATTACCCTGTACCTACCCACAGCTGGCTCTCGCTCCTCTACAAGACAACAACGCCATGGCTCCCTTTGCACTTGAAGACGAAACCTTCTATTTCTCAAACGTTGTCATTCGCGTAAGTGACGTATTATCATATAAAATGCGTTGATGATAGACTCATGGCGTCTCATGGATGCGTGTGAACAGGTGGAGGACACGCTATTCTGTGTACCGCGCTCGATGCTTCAGCGATACTCCGATGTCTTCAAGGATTTGTTCGAGCTACCAACATCTGAGAGTACGGGAGCTGAAGGAGAGAGCAAGGAGAATCCTATTGTTCTTGAAGATATCAAGGCGTGGGAATTCAAGCAGCTGCTCAAAACCATCTTTTTCAGGTAAGTAGACCACATCTTAAAGCTTGACCCGATGCGTCTCAGCGCTAAAACGTGAGTAGACATGACGATCAACCTGTTACACAGGAAGAGTGGGTAGCCGTACTCAAGCTGACCCATCGATGGGAAATGGCTGAGCTTCATCGCGTCGCAATGGAGAGCCTCTCAGCGATGCCGATGGATCCGGTAGAAAAAGCCGGTCTTGCTCAGGACCTTGACATTCAAGAATGGAAGCTCCCAGCGTACCAAGAAATCGCTCGCAGAAGCGAACCTCTGACAATGAGCGACGTTGACAGACTAGGACTAGACACCATCCTCAAATTAGCTGCAGTCCGTGAAAGCATCATGATCAACGTTCAATCGCGGAATTGGTCAAGATACAACGACGCAGATTTCTGTGCAGGAACTAGGCCTAATGCAGAGGAAATAGACTTCAGTATCCCCATCTCTTGTGCTTTCTGGCCTTCGCGTGAGGGTACACCGGATCCTGACACACGAGGCTGGGCTTACAGCGACGCATAGGATTCTGACAACAATGAATCGAAATCATAGCTAATAGCTATACACTGCTAACTATGTTTTTATCTTTCCACCGACTTATAACCTGATTTCATTGTAATTCTTTCTTCGTGTGTACACATGTTGTCCCATCTGAAATATAGCACGTTTCCGTACATCTATTGTCTGTCATATAAAATCAAACCCGCTCTTTATCCTGGAGAATTTACCCTTTTGAACTATTGAAGATAGACGGATATGTTCTCCGGGCCTGGACTAGGCTCCAACAAGCGCGTCCGCGTCCGGTACACCTTGCACAACCCTGTTAGCCTTTTCTATCGGCTTCGCAGCGTCTCAACATGAGCCCAGGCAATGAGCATGCGTACCGCGTACGCATGTCAAGCGAGTATGCATGGTAGGATATACTCGAGATATTGAGCGTGGGTCGCTACTGTACATCTGTTGGTACTATTCGGACACGGAGTACACTCAGTCCACGTCCATTTCTGATTTGCAACAAAGCGCTGTGAGTGTGGACGGACACAAAGTTAGAAACAAAGACAAACGTTCAAAACAAAAAAGCAAGAGCTGAAGCTGAAGCGCTGATATTATAGAATCGAGAAAAGGAAAACAAACACAAAAAAACAAGAGATGATATCGTAAGACTAGGTATGGTAGGACCAACAAACGTGGGGAATACACTACGGTAGTAAGCACAAAGCGGGGAGATGGGAACGTCAAGTACGTGTACTGTTCGTAACGATGGCGTAAGGTAGCAGGAATCAGGAGTCTGCGACGAGGTGAAAGCAGAACACGAACACGGATTACGAGTACATTGGTGGGGAGGGATAGCGCTATAGGTAGTGTATGAACAGGAGGTTGGTCTTGGTGGGTTCGTAGCGGAGACGTGAAGTAAGGTGAGGCGTCGAGAGCGGCAGAATGAGGCGGCGAGTCAAGAGTATCGTATGGAAAAGACGAGCAAGCGAGGAAGATCCGGGGGCGGGGTCTCAGGCGGGGGAGCGGCGGGGGGTGAGGCGGAGCATGTTGAGGACAAGTAGGCTAGAAGAGATGAAGGTTGTCAGCAACAAAGCGCAAAATCACGATCATGGTGCCTTGCCAGGGGACGAGGCACGGTTCATGACACTTGAGGCAGACAGAGGTGACGAATGGTGATGGCGACGACGAACGGGCGGGCGACAACGACTGACGGATGCCGGCAGGCGACGGTCTTCACGACTGGATTTCGACTTCTTGCGTCGTCCGGTCTCCGGGTGGCCCGCAGTCGACCTCGATGGTGATAATCCCATCCACCACGCGCGCCGAAACATCTTGCAGCTAATCGCCAAGCACACGAACGCACCCCGCCGCCAAAGAACTCACATCACACATCCACCTTACGTTCACAAAAACAAGCACACGCACCTGGACGTGGTTCGGGACAACGATCGTCCGCTTGAAATCACCGTACTTGCGCTCGCGCACCGTATAGCCCAGCTCGGGAAGGACAGGGCGCGCGCGCCCGGCAACGACGACCTGCCGAAGCGAGTTCACAGTCGTGTTCAGGACGATCGACACGTCCGAGCGCCGCAGGCCGGGCGCCTCGAGCAGCGCCGTCATGCGGTGCGTCTCCTCGCTGTAGTGCAGGTCCATGCGCAGACCGTACATCATCGCGCGCTGGGTGCCTCCTTCAGAGGGCAGAGCGGTACGACCGCCGCGCGCCGAGGCGGGGCTGACGGTCGCGCTGCGCGTGTGCGTCGGCACCGATGAGGGTGGGCCAAGAGGAGGAACGCGCTGGACAACGCACCTCGCGGAAACATGATGCGATGGCGTCGATGCCGACGACGATGCGCCCCCATGTCTCGCTGGAGCGGACATTGCGCCCGAACCAGCCTTGCCCGATGCTGCTGCTGCTCCCCCTGCTGCTGCACGATGCGATGGCTCAGACGCACCCCTACTCGTGCTCGCCGTCAGCGAGTCCACTGGAACTCTTACATGCTCACTGGCCCTGTGCGTGTGCGCGCCCGTGCCCGTTGGGCCGGCGACACCGCCGCGAGCACCATCCCCCGGGGAGGATATAGATAAAGGCGAAGACGCCATCAAACCAGAAATACCCAACACCCCCGACGGCCGTGCCGAAGCACCCCGGGCACCCGCAGAACCCGACGGAACGCGGGTCGCCGAGCCGCTATAAGAAACGCCAGCGGCGCTCTGCGGACGGCGGTACGGATGCGCGGCCCTGCGCGCGTCATGCATGTAGTGGATCGCACCACTACTGCGCAAGGGGCCAGCACCGGCACCAACACCGAGAACAGGCGTCGACGGCCCGCTGCCCGTGCCGCCCGAGGACGGACTGGCGCCCGCGGTATTAGGCCGCGAGCCGGGGTAGGATTGGTGGTGAGGCGGGACGCGCGTCGTGTCGACGGCGATATGCGGTCTCAAGCTCAGCTCCTCACCGCTGGCATTGCCGCTCCCGTGGCCACCAACACCGCCACCGTGGTTAACACCACCAGTGGGGCTGAAGTCACCGCCGCCATGGTTAACACCACCAGCGGGGTTCAGGTCACCGCCACCATGGTTTACACCACCAGCGGGGTTCAGGTCGCCTGCGCCGGTACCACCGAGCGCCAAGGAGTCGTGCCCAGGAATGGGCGCAAGCATGAGTGCGCGGAGGGCGTCATCGTTATCTCTGCTCGACCCTGTCCCAGACACGGTAGACGCGTACCCGTGGCCTTGAGCCAGGTGCGCCTGCGAGGGCACAATGGGAACGGGGCCCTCGTCGAGCCGAATGGTCTGCAGACCTTGCGGAGAAAAGTCGTGCTGATGCTGATCTTCGTAATGCTGATGCTGTTGCTGTTGCTGATCTTGATGTTGCTGCTGCTGCTGGAGATCTTGCTGCTGCTGCTGCTGCTGCTGCACTTGAGGCAGCGGCAACTGAAGGTCCCACTGAAACGGCGTCGTCGGAGTCGACGGCATCGATGCGTAGCCCTGCTGGTGAGGGAACGAGTACGGGTACGACATGAAGACTTGGGAGAACATGGATAGGGGGAAATTAATTTTGCTTCCGCGGTTTTATAAGCCAGCGCCATAGCCTGCCCTCAAGAACGAGAACGAGTCACACGCCCCGACGGATCCGCGCCACGTTCCCGACGCACTCTCACGGCGGGCGCATTTCCATCCCGATTTGGAAATATCCCGCCATTGTTCCCCTGTCTGGGCCCGACGCTGCTCCACCTGCCGATGTGATTGGCTGTCAAGGAGGCGGGCCCAGGCACTTCCAAGACGTCGGTGCTGCTGACAATAATCCGGTGAATTTGTGCGTACGAGTGGGATGTAAAGTATAGTACACAGCTGCAGAGCAACAAATATTGAGATTCGCAAATCAAAGAAACCAACTCCAATAGTCCAGTCAAGGTCAAGTAAACTAATCATTACCAGGGCCCAATGCGCGCCTCACCCGACGCTTCCACGTCACATGTGCCGACCTCTATATCACACACGAGGCTGCATGGATTCTTCCCCTGCCCGCTCGCAGCCTAGCGACCATCACAACCTTCCCGCCATATCACAGCCGCCCGTTCCTATTCTCGCCAGCGTCCTCCGCCGTAGCAGCAAGACTATGGCTCCCCGCCCTACTCCTCGGCACCAACGTCCCCGTCTCCGCAATCCGCCCTCCCCGATCCACACTCCTCCTCCTCCCCATCTGCTGCTGCTGCTGCGCATTCGAGCCCCGCCGGCTCAGCGGCTCCACGGGCGAATGCGACGCCTCGCGGTGCGGCACATACGATATCACCGGCGACCCGAACGACGACGAGAGCGACGGCGGCGGCACGGACGGGTACGAGAGGCCCTGTGCGGGCGCTGCCATCGACATCCCCGGGTACGGCCCGACGATGGGCGCGTTCGAGTTAACCGAGACGGACGAGGGCGGGGTGGTTAGGTGTGTTCCGTTGCTTACGAAGCTCGCGGGGTGCGTGGTAGTGACGGGCGAGAACGGGAACGGGGACTCGACTGAGGATGAAGATGGCGAGTGCGAGTGCGAGAGGGGTGTCGATGCCTCCGGGGAGAGGTACGGTTGGTCAGCACCTGGTCGGTGGATCTGCGAGGGCGGCCGCGGTATTGGCACGCCGTGCGTCGGTGCCGGAGCAAACGGGGGCGGGCGCGTGCCCGGTATCTGGGACGGATGAGAGTGCAGTTGTGAAGTGAGGTTCGAGTACGACACAGACGCGCTCGGCGAAGAAACGTTCGAGGAGAACGAACGCCGGTGCGTCGGCTGTGACAATGGATCCAGCGAGGACGAGAGTCCTATAAGGTTGTCCACCGACAGTCCAAGCTATACATCCACCACACCCCCAGACTCGCCAGTAAGCGTCTGTACGCAGACAAAGACAAAGTGAAGAATACGCACCCGTCGTCGATGGTCAATCAGCTCCTCCCTATATATCTCATTCAGCCTCAATATCCGTACATAGTCCCGCTCCGTCTCGACGAGCCTCCCGCGCAGGTGCTCGTTCTCCCGGCGCATCGCATCAAGCATGACCTCGGCGCTCGGGGAGAGCGGCGACTGCCCCGACATGAACATCTGCATCCCGACGCGGGCGTCTGGCGACGCCGCCCCATTGCCGTTAAGACCATTCCCGCCACTGTTGTAACCACTGCCGATACCGTTAGATGACGAGGAGGTACCAGTGCCATTCGTCTGCGCTTGGGACTGTTGTGACTGTTGAGCCTGTTGCTGCTGTTGCTGCTGGGCAATCCGCAGCGCCGACAACTCCCTCGTCAGCCTGTTCACATGCGACTCGTTCTCAGCCTCAAGCACATTCTCCAGGTGTATCTTGTCCTCCCGCAGCTGGATCCCGTCGTTGCATACAACGTACGCAGCAGCACGCCAACGTAAGCGCCCGGGGTGCCACCGTCGGTGCACCGTTGAAGACGGAGCAAGGGAATGGATCGAGTGCGGGATCGTCAGCACCGCAAAGACCAGTAGACTGGCCAGCGCACCTGCTCGAGCTTCCTCGAGAGCACATTGATGATCCGCTCCTCTTCGGCTTCGTACGCGTTGATGAGATTCTCCTCGCGCTTGAGGTTCCCAGGGGAGCTGCTCGTCGTCGACAGGCGCCGGATGGGTGGGGACTCGGACATGGGAGTAGGGCAATAGGAGAGGTGTTGCAGGGGTAAACCTGGCAGATGCAAAAGGTAGGCGGGACCCAAGCTAGGAGCTGCGGGGACTTGATATCAGCTGAACTGGCAGAGGACGCAGGTGACGATCCGCTGACAGCCGCAGTCGTGGTAAGAGAAAGAGACGGTCGGTTGGCTGGCTGGCGTTGGAATGGAGACAGGCAACGGAATTCAGGCTCGGGTGTATGAACGAGGTGAGTGATTGAGGTAACGAGCTAGTAATGCAAGTGCGGCCTGCGGGTGAGACCATCTCCCCCAATCCGCTTCCGCGCCGTTACCTCCGATTCCAGGCCCCGGGCCCTCGGCGTCCCTCTCCGACTCCCCCTCGGACTCAAATACCAAAACTCAGAAGTAGAGTTACCACTTTAACCCGCGATCGTTCCACAACATGTCCCGCCATCGTCACTCGCGTGGAAAAAAGGAAGATAAATCAAGTACGTAAGACAGTTCATAACGGGTAGCCTACTCTACTTTCACTGTTCACGATCAAGAACAGACTCAAAACTATAATCTCGGCAAACCTAATAACGTATACTGCAGCGAAACTTCTAACCAGTGCCAGGCGCATGCAAGGGCGAACAGAAACTTGATGGCCCATGAAACAAAAGAGTAAAAACAAAACAGATTATCAAGCAGCGCAAACGAAAAACTCTCATCATCAACAACGCCGCCGCCACAGCTCAGAAATCGTATCCCTCGACCTTGAACGTTTTGCCGTACTCGAGGAAGCTGCTCATGATCTTCATAATCTGCTCGGGCAGACCCATGCTCAGCAGCGTAAACGCGATCTTGGCGTGTCCGTGGATCTGCCCGAGCTTGAAGAAGCTTCGGCTGATCAACGTGGGATACTGTATGTCGGCCACAGGCGTCAGTCATCGGAAGAACCAGCCAGAGGACATGGAGAAGCGCATGTAAGCCTCTGGGCTGAGGGATGAAATCTCGGGGGAAACGACGCACCGTCATCTCCGTATAATCCGCATACTGATACGCCGCCACCCGAATGGCCGTCTGAATCGTGCGCGTGATATCGCCCTCCTCCGCGTACGTCTCGAGCAACTTCGCCCACGGCTTCTGCGAGTACCGCTGCGAGTCCAGGCACCGCTGGTACGCCTCCTTCGCCTCCTCCTTGTGGTGCAGCCGCACCGCGAGGTCACCGAGGATCTCCCACTCGAGACCTGTCTTGCGGTACGCGACGTGCTGCGTCTTGAAGTGCGCGACTTCCGCGCGGAAGATGGTCCACACGCGCAGGTCCTGTAGGTATATGCGCGTCAGTCGAGAATTTGGGTAAGTGAAGAAGGACAAGAGAGACGCACTTCGTACAGCACCATGAACAGGTTATCCAGCCACCGCTCGCACAACCGCTTATTCGCAAACGAGAACGAAGCCTCCGCATTGGCCGCCTGCGCCGCATCCGTCTCCTCGCCCGCCGCAGCCTGCACAGGCCTCTCCAGCCCATCCGCACCGTTAGGCACCCCATTCAGACTCTTCCCGTCCGCATCGTTGACCGTAGTCGCACCATCGCTCGCCCCCTCGCCACCAGCCTGCAAATCCTCCTCCTCCTCCTCGGCACCCCCACCAACATTCGTCCGCGAATTATGCGAACTATGCATCCCCTTCGTCGACGCATCATCGTCCGCGACATCGTCCCCCCTCGCAGCCAACGTCGTCCCCTCGCTCGGCACCACCGACCTCTGCTCCACCGTCCCGTCCTCATGCACCACCTGCGTCGGCGCGTCCCCATTCGTCGGCGGCGGCGACGACGCATCCTGCATCAGGGCGCCCACGTCCGGCTGGCTCTTCGCCATCCTATATTCCTCCTCCATCACGAACACCGTGCTCCGCGTCTTCAGCAGCTCGTCCCACCCGATCTCCGACACCAGCCGCGTCAGCAGCGCGTACGCGCGCGCCCACGTCCCGCGCAGCCCGGGCGCGGGCAGGCGCAGGAGCGCAGGGTCCGCCTCGTCGTCTTCCGTTTTCTGCTTCTCGGGGAGAATGTCGCCGATCTGCCGGCGGAAGGGGAGGTGCACGCGCGCGGGCGTCATGAGGCGGTGCATGTCGCGCCCGTTGAATGTGAACATCGGGCACGAGTTGAGCGTCAGGAGGGCCTGCCGCACATAAGCACGCCCGGATGAGTCGGGAATGAAAGGTGGGAAGTGGATGATAGACCCACGGATTCGTAGTCCTTCGCGTCGATGTACAGCTCCGTGAGCTTCTCCCACGTCACGAACTCGCTCGGCGCGCAGTTGACGGCCTCACGCGCGAGCTTGAGCGCCCACTCGTGCTTGCCCTTGGAGCGGAGAAAGTCGCTCTGCGCGTGCAGGAGCGTGTACGAGTTCGGCGTCAACTTCATCGCGGTCGACATCACCTGCACGGCCTTGACTTCTTCGTCTGCTCAGCCGCAAAAGAGCAATCGGTCATGGATCAGCCGTGGGGAAGGATGAGAAGCGGGACGCGTAACGCACTCATGCCGATGTAGCTCCTCGCAAGGAGAGACGCCACCTCCGGCTCCTTCAATGACAGCTTCTCGAACAGATTCGCGGCCTGCTGAAACCGCCCGCTCGCGCCGAAATACTTCAAAATGCCCGCGGTAAGATGATTCGAGACGACCGTGGCGACCTGGATTTCGGGGTCCGATCCGACCTGCCAGCCTGGTGTGCTGCGTTAACCCCGCCACTCGCTACTGGTGGCACGCTCCAGCTAGTCCCAAGGTATACGCACCTTTCATGAACAGAGCCTCGGAAGCCTGGAGGAAGCGCAGCTCGCCCTCGGTGGTCGTAATCGGATCGAGCTTGCGGTAGGCGTCGAGCCAGTACGTGGGGTCGTCGGAGTAGAGGATGGCACGGAGGAGGGCGGAGACGTAGGTTTCTTGCCAGATTTCGGGGGTCGCTTCGTGACTGTGGAGCATGTCGAGATGAGGATGGGGTACGAGTAGAGGGAATAACCACGCACCGCTCGCCGCGCAGATCGACCACGTATGCGTTCACACCGCCGGGGATCTTGACGTCCACGCGTATGTCCACGCGCGAGAACGCGTTGAAGCAGCTTCAAGGGGTGCCCATGAAAAGGGATAAGGGAGAGAGAAGTGGATGTGCGTACCAGAAACACCCGTTCTTGACCTTCCACACTGCGCCTTTTGAGAACCAGGCCGAGTTGTCCTCGATCTCGTACGTGAGGGAGTTGATGTATGCGGCGAGAGACGCCGACGACGAGGCGTCGACGCCCGAGATGAAGTGGTATGATCCGACCTACACGCCCATACCGAGGAAAGGATGAGGAGGTTGAGGATAGGAGAGGCATGGATGCGCAGAGTCAGCGACGCGAACGACGGATGCGAGGACAAGGGGGACGCACGTCGCGTTGCCCGGTGCGCCCGGTGCTCTTGACGACGTGGCATAGGTCAGGCGGCCCTAGTTCGCGGAATGTGGCTAGAACACCAAATGACGAAGATCAATGTCGGGTTTCAGTCCACACCGAGCGCACGGATAACACGTACCTAGACTTTCTGTTCGCGCAGTTAACGACTCTCCGAGTTCAACCTGGGCTTGCTTTGAGTCGCGGTAGCTTGTGAGAAACAGTGACAGAGCTGACCTCGAAGAGCTCCGGAACGTCCTTGAAGGACGACTCGGCCATTTTGTTTTGAGTGAGGAACCAGCCGCGAGGACGTTTCCAGGTTTACTGAAGTCTTGCCCCACTCGTCCACGCGCGCAGCGACGCCTTGTTTGCTTTCCACGCCACTTCAGTCACCCCGCCCCCCGGACCTCTTAGGTGTTACCTTTCTCACTCAGAGGTTTGACCTAAGAGGGTGTTCCGTGGTATGTTTGGCTGGGTTCTGCGCCCCTACGGTCAGATTTCTGGCATTTTGGTGGTAAGTCTGGCCAGGCATCCGGAGGGGTATTATCCCATATATCCGACCGCTGGCCATTTGTCTGGGTGGCGTTCTGTGAGATATCCCGCCGGCTCTCAGCCCGTGACATGTCACGCAGTGCGCGGGGGAGGGATAGGCCTAAAAGGCCTGGTATTTGCGATTTTTACCGGCCTGTACGGGCTCGCTCGCCGCGTTCTTGCCATCGTTTGGTTACAACCAATAGCTATATACCATATGCCACGCTTGTTTATCATATCTAAGCCAGTTTGGCCTCCATTTGCCCCATCTCCGCAAACAAGGAGCAGCTCAATGATTCACATGACATTGGTCCATTCCCAGTTTTTATTTATTTCAATATGTACCATCCATAGGGACACCAGGTCCGAAGTGCTAGAAATATACTCTTTAATTAATGTGCGAACCTGTAAATCTCATTATAAATTCGTGCCCTTGGGATACGTGGATACTCGGTTACAATATGACTGAAATGGTATTTACTATTTATCTTGTCAAGAATTATGGATGGTCAGCAAACTGAATCTTACGATGCAATGAAGCAAGACACCCTGTTTCCGGAGTCACAAATGCTTAATCAATGAAAATACATCAATGTTATATGTTTTTTTTTGCTGTGGGGAATAAGACATTGGCTCAAATCTATTAACCCTGAGTTCAAAGTGAGACGTGATTGGTGAGATGTGTGGGACAAGGGGACAATGTGAGATTGGTGTCAGGCAACTGGGAGTTGGATATGTGGGAGCAATCAGATAGAGCACTTAGACATCCAACTAGTGGGGGAAGGTTGCAGACATCCGAGTCTGTGCTGAACCTGCTATATTTCTGGGGAATATATAGACGGTTGGACATCTGGTGCATTCAGTAGGGAGTCTGGGCCGCGAGACAAAGACCCCCCGGCGTCCGGAGCGTTGAGTCAGACATCTGGGGTGCGGGGATAAGATTCTCCAGATGTCCGGACCCTAGTGGCTCAGACGTCTGGCGTTGGGTATCAGAGCGGAACCAGACGTCTGGCGCAAGGTATCAGAGTGGAGCCAGACGTCTGGCGCAGGGTATCAGAGTGGAGCCAGACGTCTGGCGCATTCAGTAGGGAGTCT